ACTGGCACTCTTTACAGGAGGAGAAGACCCCAGTTTCTCCCTCAGAACGGCTCGTGGTTATCCCACTGCAAACCGTATGGATCGTAGCCCCACGCAGAACTGCTACGTCACCAGGCTCTTCCAATGGACCCACGGACCGTACAAACATATTCTAGGACCAGAACTAGGTGACCCCCTACTAACACTACCAATTGCTCAGAAAGGGAGGGGTCACACTGGAAGGTCCAACGGAGAGTGGGAGAAAAAAAAGATTTATTAGATAGATGCTAGTGCAAGCCTCAAAACCATTCAGGTCTGGAACTCAATTTCCAGATCAACATCATAAAGAGGTCAATCCCATGAGTGAAGAATGCACACCTTGGAGTATTCAACCCTTAAGATCAAAAGGGTGGCATTTACCCAAGAACAAAGGTCAGGAGGCTTAGGAAAAGAGGAGTAACAGAAACAGGAAACACAGGGAGGAAGTGGGATAAGTGAGATTACATCAAAATTACAATGAATGAGAAGAAACAAAATGTGTATGAATAGACGAATGTAAAACTGATGATCTGAGCTGTAATCCTTCATTTAATGCTCAATAAGTTACTATTAAAAAAAAAAAGGTTGACCTACACCTGCTATAACAATGCCTGTGAGTCCAGGTGATGGGCATGAAAAGGTCAGGCCAGTTGTAATCTCCAGTGCAGTTCAACTACAATCTCTCTTAGATCCTAATGCCTGCTTTATTCAACGAGCTGTCACTGAATGGCAGCCACTTCCATGACATGAGGCAAGGATGCCATTTAATATGTGCATACACTTCTGCTCATACCACACCCAATGCCCAGTGGGTGATACCTTCTGTACATTCAATCAGCAAACGTCTATCCTAGTGTGATGGTTATTGTGTGTCAATTAGATTAGAATATAAATTTGTCTTCCTTGAGCATAATGCTTCTGTCAAGATCATTTATTACAGAATGCCACAACCACCCTCATGGATCCCTCAGATGACAGGACTTCACAGAAAGTGAAGTGTGGCATGGGTTCGTGCTCAGGAATTCACTTGC